ACACAGATGCAGGATCTTGCGCTTGGCCTTGCTGAACTTCATGAGGTTTGCACAGGCCCACCTCTCAAACCTGTCCAGGTCCCTCTGGATGGCATCCCTTCCCTTCAGCGTGTTGACCATATCACACAGCTCAGTGTCATCATCTTGCTGAGGGTGCAATCAATCCCACTGTCCATGTCACTGACAGAGGTGTTGGTCCCCTCTCACGAATGTCACTCATCAATCGTACCACTTGGACGTCAAGCTGTTGAGCTGCAATCATACAGCCAATACCTTAACTTCCAAGTGGTCCATCCATCAAATCCAATTTAGAGACAAGGATATCATGGGGGACAGTGTCAAACGCTTGGCACAAGTCCATGTAAATTATGTCAGTTGCTCTTCCCTTTTCCACCAGCTCTATAATCCTATCTTGGAAGGTCACCATAGATTCATCAGGCTTCATCTGCCCTTAGCAAAGCCGTGTTGGCTGTCCCCAGTCACCTTCTTATCTTCCACATGCCTTACCATAGTTTCCAGGAGGTTTTGCTCCATGATCTTACCAGGCACAGAGATGAGACTGACTGGCCTGTAGTTCCCTGGGTCCCCCTTTTTTTTTTTTTTGCTTTTTAAAACTTGGAGTCATGTTTCCCTCCTTCCAGTCAGTGGAAACTTCACTGGACTGCCACAGCTTCATAAATATGATGGACAGTAGCTTAGCAACTTCATCTGACAGTTCTCTCAGGATCTTCAGATGCATCTTACTAGGTCCAATGGACCTGTGCACCTTTAGGTTCCTTAGATAGTCTCAACCTGATCTTCTCCTACAGAGGGCAGTTCATCATTCTCCCTGTTGTGGTTCTGCTCAAGTGGGCAGCCGAGCTCCACCACAGATGCTCTCTCACTCCCCCTCCTCAAAGAGGAATGGGGAGTAAATAAGATGAAAAGGGCTCAAAGTTTGAGATAAGGACAAGCAGATCACGCAGTAATTATTGTAATGGGCAAAACAGACTCAGCACAGGGAGATAGTAAGATTTATTGCTCATTACTAACAAGCTAGGGAAGTGAGAAACAATGGAAAGAAACCAAAAGCACCTTCCCCCCACATCCACCTTCTTCCACCTCCTCCCCACAAGCGGTGCAGGGGAACGGGAGAATGGGGTTTATGGTCAGTCTACACCGCTTCTTCTCTGCCACTCCTTCTCGGTCACTCTCGTCCCCTGTGCTGTGGGGTCCTACCCATGGGATACACTCCTTGATGAACTGATCCAGCGTGGGCTTCCCACAGGCAGCAGCTCTTCCAGAGCTGCTATGGGCAGATATGGGTCCGTACCACGGGGTCCATCCCTCAGGAGAAAATTGCTCCAAACTGGGTCCCCCACAGGCAGCAGCTCCTGCCAGGTCACCTGCTCCTACGTGGGCTCCTCTCCACGGGCTACAGGTCCGGCCTGGAATCTGCTCCAGCAGGAGTCTTCCACAGGCAGCAGCCTCCATCAGTGCAGATCCACCTGCTCCACCGTGGTACTCCATGGGCTGCAAGGGTACATCCTGCTTCACCATGGTCCTCACCACAGGCTGCAGGGGACTTCTGCTCCAGCGCCTGGAGCACCTCTCCCCCTCCTTCTTCACGGACCTTGGCACCTGTAAGGCTGTTCCTCACTCCTCTCACTCTCCCAGCTGCTGTGTGGCGCAGCGCTTTTTTCCCTGTCTTAATTATGTTCTCACAGAGGCGCAAAACAACATTGCTTATTGGCTGGGCTCTGATCAGCAGTGGGGCCCTTACCAAACATGGGGCAGCTTCTGTATCCTTCTCACAGAAACCACCCCTATGGCCCCCTGCTACCAAAACATTGCCATGTAAGCCCACTAAACTCCCAAATCCTGCCTTTGCCTTCTGGGGCTTGGGCCATGTGGCTGGAGGACTTTCTGGTGAAGACTGAGGCAAAAAAAAGTCATTGATTACATCAGCCTCCTTCATATCCCAGTTTACCACATCTCTTGTTTCCTTCCAGAAAGGGTTCACAATGTCCTTAATCTTCCTTTTACCACTGCCATACCTATAGAAGCCTTTCTTGTTGCCCTTGATGTCCCTGGCCAAATTTAATTCTAATAATGCTTTAGCTTTCTCGATCTGATTGTTGCTCAGACAATTTCTCTGTATTTCTCCCAGGTTATCTGTCCTGGCTTTCACCCTTTGTAGTCCTCTTTTTTCTGTATGAATTTTGGCCAGTAGCTCCTTGTTCATCCATGCAGGTCTCCTGGCATTTTTGCCCAACATCCTCTTTGTTGGGATGCACTGCTCATGAGCTTGGAAGAGGTGATCCTTAAATATTAGTCAGCTTTCCTAGGTCCCTCTTCCTTCCAGGCCTTTGTCCCATTGTGCTCTACCAAGCAGATCCCTGAAAAGGGCAGTCTGTTCTTCTGAAGTCCAGGGTAGCAAGCTTGCTGTGCTTCCTCCTCACCACCCTCAGAATCCTAAACTCCACAGTTTCATGGTCACTGCAGCCAAGGCTACCCTTCAGCTTCACATTCCCCACCAACCCCTCCTTGTAGGTGAGAGTAGGTGAGAATGTGTTCTATTTTAGCACGTCTCCTCATTAGTCTTTCTATCAGTTGGAGAAGGAAGATAACTTCCATCATTGCATGCCATGAATTTCATAGATTTCCAATGCCCTGATGTCCAATGTCCCTTCGACAGATATCAGGGTGGTTCAAATCCTCCATGAGGACCAGGGCTTGTGAATATGAGCCTGGTTCTATGTGTCTATTGAGGGCCTCGTGTGCTTGATCTTTCTGATCACGTGGACTGTAGCAGACCCTCAGGATAATGTCCACTGTCCCTGCCATCCTTGTAATCCTGACCCTTAAGTTCTCAGTCAGCTCCTCACCCATCCCCAAGCAGAGCTCCATGCACTCCAGCTGCTCACTAACATAGAGGCAATGCCTCTGTCTCAACTCTCCTGCCTGCTCTTCTTGATGAGCCTGTATCCTACCATTCTAACACCCCAGTCATGGAAGCCATCCCACCACATCTCCATAATGCCAGTAAAGTCATAGCCCTGCAGGTGTGTGTCCATCTCTCATGTTCATGCCCTGTGATAAATGTGTTAGCATGGAGACATTGAAGTTGTTCTGACATTATGGTGTTATGCCATTATTATGACATTAATAAGATATTACAAAACATGTCTTCTTCATTAGGTTTGCACTAGGATCCTTTCATAATTATTTCGGTTTTCCTGCCTTTTAGATACTGATAAAAACATATAGAAGTTTAAAAATGTTCCGCTCCTCAACTGTCTGTTTCATTTCTTTACTAGAGGTCAATCCCTATGTAGCATAGAAGGAAGAACATATGTTTCTGTGGAAAGTCTGGGAAATTGAATTATATTATCAATGACAGTAAGTTCAAATAAGCTGCTGTACTTCATGTTGAAGCAGTGGAAGCACATTGTTTTTCTACTTTTGCAAACTCTATTCTGAATATCAGTGCACCAAGAAGCCTTCAGTAGAGAGATGGAAGGTAAATGCCAAAGCTGAACTGCTGCTACAGTTGTCTTGCAATGTCAAAAAATAGGCATCCTACTAATGCTTGTTGATTCTTGCTCCTGCACAAATAGTAATGAGTAAATAATAGTAGTGAGTAGTGCAGTAAAGTAAATTGTGGAGCTAGATGGGAGTAAGAAATGAGCTAAATACTTATTTATTCTTCTACACAAGTTCCCTGATCTAGTTATTGTTCCAGCCACACAAACAATTATACTGGGACCAGGGAGTGGGTGCAAGTGGTGTGTAGCTGTTGCGTTTAAGGTTGAAGTAATTGGGAGTGGTACCCAATTAATCGTTATAAGTCGGGTCGCATTCAGTGTACTGAACTATCATGATTACTGATGAAAATATTCAGCTTATTGCTTCCTATGTACTTTCAAGTACAGGCTCTCTGATCACAGAGCCTGGCCATGGTGTCTCCACTCCACTCCACTCTCCATACATTTCCTCTTAGCTTCAGCACACTAAGTTACCCTGGTGTAGTCAACATCTAAGGTTGGAGGCCTAGGGGACTTCTATGGAATGCAGCTACACTCTACCCTGGAAGTGTCTTCAATGCTGTACCTTTTTTAAAAAATGTGAATATAAGTTGAATTTCTAAGTCATCTCTGGCAATTATTCCACAGTAGCTGAACATCAGAGGGATTCATTTCATAGTAGGACTGGCTTACCTCAATCTAAAGTACTAGCTGAACTTCAACTTAAGTGAATAAACTGCTTGGAAATGTATTCATCTGAGTAAAGTTAACTGTAGTTAAGTATTTAATACTAGATAATTTTGTGCATTGAGAATCAATACGGAAGAAATATGGTTGCAAAATGAGTTGTTAAATTACAAGCACATAGTCCTTAAGCATCTAGTTTTTGAGTTTGAATTGGAGAGATGTCCTGTTAAAGATGTATTAATGGTTAATAAATATAATTCAAATGTGTTGTAATAGCTCTTTAGAATAGGTCTTCTGTATGTCAAGTGAGAGATTTCTGCTGTTTGTGGAAGAACTTTAAAATTCATTTCAAATTATTCCTTTTCCATTTGTCTTGGTTCTAACATTGTTTTTGTAATTACATTCAATTTGTTTTACCACTCCACAAAAATATCCCCAGAATACTGTATTTTCCATCAGTAAACCTCTTTGTGACCATAAGAAGGTTTAAAGAGTTGAAATCAAATATCAATATCAGGATTGACTGCACTTTTCTTACAGAACATCTTCCACTGAATATGGAAACTTAAAAGCCAGTCTTTTTTCTTTCATGTCTTTTGAGCTCCCCCTACTAACTTTGCTTGCATGAGTTCAGCTGCTCACCCTCTTTTCCAGTGTTCTCTTATGTTTCTTTTCCACTCCTCCTTAAGCCAGACCAACAACGGCCAAGTAAAGCCACATTTTTTGTCTGAATGGCTTCAGTAATAAATACCAAACAAGAATGCACACAGAGTTAGTAAGCAGAACAAAGAAAGCATGGTCACTCACCAGCTGTCACCATAAAGATCCCTGGACTTAACAGCACACGTACATAGGCAGCAGTGAAATTAAACTCAGCTCCTCTTGACTGTATTATCTCTGTAAGACTAATAAGAATAAACAGTAAAAGACCTGGCAAAGAACAAATTAAAGTTCACTTTACTGCTAGAAAAAGTTGTCCAGTTAGGAGTTCAATCGACTTTAACTTATGTTCTTGGACTCCATGCCTTTAGTTGTTTCTTTTGACTATTTATGACCTTTGTCATCTTGAGGTATGTCTTAGACAATAAATGAAAGAGATTAGATAAATTTTGTACAAAGGTGCCATTTTTCATATTTTCTTGATGATTAATTAAGTACACATTAAAGATTCCAAACTGCCTCACAGTAGTAAGAAATAACAAAACAATAACAACTACTACAAACACATCCTTATAATACTCATTTCATTTCTCCGTGATGACAGCTATTCCAGAATAGTAAATCCAGGACCTTTTAGGAAAAAGACAGGCTTCAGAAGAAAATGCTGATAATTCCTGTGCACATGAAAAATAAACCTATATTTAAAACACGGTTCATTTAAAGTTAATACTATGTCAAAACCAGAATCATACAATTCCACCATTCACAAAATCATACATTTCTACCATTCTGTCTGCATGCTTCATTAGCCTAACCATAGGAGACTACAAAGGTACTAAGACTGCATATTCTTCTTGGGTTTGTTTGTTTAGTTGGTTGGTTGTTTTTGTTGCTGTTTTGTGCCCATATAATATTTCATAATTTTTCCTATAACTTAACTTGCTAATTTGATCCCTTTCAATTCTAATTTCCATTTTTCCTATTAACTTAAGACCAACTGTTTGTCAAGTAACATTAAACCATTTGCTACAAAGTCTTCAAAGATTAAGTCCAATCTGTGGACGCAACATGCAGAAATAATCCTTATTTGGGCAACTTCAGACTTGCAGAGCATCTGTCATGGAAACCCCTGGCACTGGTCCCAGATGTGCTTATATCTCTTCTTTATGTTATTCAAAGATTTTCAATGAAGCTACCAAGAAATTTTTATATTTCACTCCCAAATTCAACCATTCTGGTATACGGGTTCACAAATTACGACTTGCCATAGAAGCAAAGCTTACTCAAGAAAATGAGAACAGGGATCTATTCTCAGATCAGGTTAGACAGGATAGGATCAGACACTGAAAAGGTAAATGCTTGCATTTAGCAAAACATTTCTTACTGCTTATTAAACAGAAAAGTGAATGAAATACACTGTAGAGAAAGTAATGCTTGAGAAGACCTCAAGTTATATGGGAATGTCTTTCTGAGAAATTTTATCTTAAAAGTGACTTCTCCAGAGACTGGATTTTCTTTCATCTATTAAATCATGTACAGACACACTAAACTAATAGATGCATTAAATTGCATCTATATATGCAAAAATGCATATTCATTTTTGTTATCTTTTATTTCTAAATCATGAACTTCGTAAGACCTTCAGAAAGTACAAAGCTAAAAACAGGGCAGAAGAGAATGTCTGGGAAACAAAAGAGTTCTGTAAACTAAGGGTAAACTTTTTTTCCAAATGAGGTGGTACAGCTGTATATATAACTAAAGATTCCATTCAGATCCTTTTTGTATGTGTTTTGGGCACAGATCTTACTGCAAAATGTTTTTCCTCTTTCTTGAACACTGCATACCAAGATGATACAAAACCACTATTATCTAAATACTCCAGGGAACTTAGAACAATTAACTGACTGTTAGTTCTGGGCAACATTTTTAAATCAAATCAAATACCAAACTTTTTTTTTTCTCTTCAACTTCTTAGTTATGTTTTGAGGACATTGAGGATGGAATTGTTGTATAAATATGAAACTTCATATTTTTATTTATTTTCACTACAGCTTTATTTCAACTTTAATTTATTATGAAACTCTCACATTAAGAACTGAACCAAAAATATGTTTATTTTGTAGGAAGCTAACAATTTTTTTTACTTCTACTGCTGTACTGAACACATACATTTAAACATCCCAATTTATCCATGCAGAATCAGATTTTATTATTGTTACTAAAACTCCTTTATTACTGCAAGGGCAGGCACAGCCCTCTGAAGATATAATGAGTGGAAGCATTGCAAGATGAAACTTGGGTGTTTTCCCTTGTCAGGAGATAAACAGATCAAGACATGTCTACAGATCTTTCCTTGGACATGAGAGACATCTCAGACTGGAGTAGAGGCTGACTGTGCAACAAAAGACATCAGTTCTAAACCCCACCTCACCTACGGATGTTAGTTCTTGTGCAAATGCCACTCCAAACACCTTAAATTTTCTGCAGACTTTGCTTCAGCCTTATTCTGGAATGAGAAGCATAAGGCAACAGAAAAAAGCTCCTGGAATGTAAGCGCTTTCTGCAGAAACATGTCCCTGATCACAGGTTTCCACACAGACAGCAGACGGGAGACAGTCGTATCTACACCACCGTTATGCAACACCAAGACACCAGTTGGGCTCCTTCTAAGCCTCTTCAGAGGTGACTGACCTACAGGAATTGTCATTAGACAGAAAACAAGGTCAAAATATACTGATAAAGCAGCTTAGATGACAGAGTCACAGATTACAGATTCATATTCCAGCACACCCACAGAGAGCCTTTAGAATAACTGCTCTGTCCTGGATTTTAAAAATAGTATATAGGACTAGTGAGCTTGTGCTTACTGTATCAAATCTTCCCCAGCCCCCCTCACTCAGCCTGTGAACCTGGGAAAGTGATGTCCTTCTGCTGAGAGACAGCAGAGGAGGAGGAGGGATCATCTAAGTCTAACAACCTGACCTGTGCCTGTGCCCTTCTGAAGACACAGAGTGGTCCCCGTCCTGTAATCCAACAGGAAGAATCCTCTCTCTCTCTCTCAGCTGGATAAAGCTCAGACAATGAACTCCAAGGAAGGCAGCCATCTCCTCATTGTGTTGCCTACTCTACTTGCCAGGATTTGGAAGGGCCCTCTCTTAGCAAAGCTGTAAGTCCCTGTGTGTTTGAGTGGGACTGGGGGTAGGGGAGCTGGCTGTACAGTAATTTCCTCTCTATAGCATGTGATGTGCACCACTGAGCACTGCTAGCAAGGAAAGGAAGAGACTGCAATCTTGTATGTGTCTGGAAAATCCCCTGTGGGTCCTGGTAAACCCCCCATGTGTCCTGGTAATCACTATAAGGCAAAAGAATTTTCCATCTGAAATTATGTATTTTCCACTTGACCATTAGGGATAACTTTGTGGAGTTCTTTTTCTAGGTATTCTGAGTCTTTTTTTTTTTTTTTTTTTTTTTTTTTTTTCTCCCTTTGGACAATTTTGAAAGCTAAAAAAGCCTGCGGTCCAGAGTTGGAGTTCTCTAGGTCTTATGGCAACTGGATGGAGAATGACTGGGTAGCAAGGTACAATATCATTCTCTGTGCTAATTGCTATATCTGCATGTTTCCTGTAAGGCTTCATCTCCAGTTTCTCTGCGGGAGGACTCTCTCTGCAATGAAGAAAGGCTAAAAGAAGAACAGTAAAGCATTCAGCAGCATGCTCAGCAACTGCTTTCTATTATGCAACAGTTTAAAGGAATGTGCACAGCCTGCTGAAAACCTCATCATGTGACTAAGATCACAGCAACAACGTGGCACTAAATGAACAACTGAGCTCTTATGTACTGGTATAAAGACCCGGCTAGAAGAGCATTGTGGTAGTCTACCTTCAGCCAAAGTGAATAGGAGTTTAATTTCAGCATGTTGCTCAGCAGGCTAGTTACTTTTCATCTGTGGGATGATACTTTAATTAAATTCTCACCTCACTACCTTTAATGCATTTTCCATTATGACTTGATGTTTTTTGTCAGGTATCTCTTTGCCCTCTGTGAGTTTTAAAAAGCAGGAAGAAAAACAAAACAAACAAACAAACAAACAAACAAACAAAAAACACTGGCAGCCCTATAATAACTGTGCTTTTGGATTTAACTTCTGTGTTGCAGGACTTAGATAAGGATGGCTCTTGTATCCAACAAAACAGATGAGTTCCTGAGTTGAACCATCACAAAAGAAATAAATAAATCAGAATCATTATATTAAATATATGGTAAAAAGAGAGGTGAAGGGGGGGGGGGGGGGGGAAGGGGGGGGGAGGTGGCGCAGAAAGAAAGAAAGAAAGAAAACAAGCCCAAGGAAGCAAGATTGGTCTTGGAAAATAGTAAGTTCTTTACTGGTTACAATCAAAGGGGTACCCTTCTGTAACCCAGGGGAAAACTAACTGCTCACTTTGGCTCATGATGGAAAGGAGTTCCTGGGATTTTCAGATCACTGATGGCAGTGGGATAGTGAGAAACTCTCCTGGGCAACGACAGAAGAGGACAAACCAGAAACAAAGGATCATATCTCCAAAAAAAAGGACAGCATATCTTCTGCTTCTGGCTGTGTTATATTCCAAGTTTTACCTCTGCTGAGACAATACGTACAAGGAAACCCAAACAAAAATTTAAAAAGTGAAGGATTACAGTCCAAAAAATCCTAATGACAGATTTTAGGAGTAACTTAGTAGATGTTATCTTGCTACAGAGTCAATTATTTTTTTCCTTTCAGGAGAAGGAACTTACCTTTCTGAAAGAAGGTAAAACAAATTCTAATCTACCACAACTGGTTATGAAATCATAAAATATAATTGTTATGGCTTAGTAACTAAAGAGTTGTATAGAAAACTACTTACCTTGTTAGCAACCCTTGTGTATAAACAATGTGATAAGACAGAACAACTGTAATAGTAGTCTTCCTTTCTTTCTTCCTTCCTTCCTTCCTCCTTTCCTCCCTCCCTTCCTTCCTTCCTGGACATGTATTTTGAATAAAATACTGATCCGTGTGTGTGTAACATATCTTGCTTTTGGACAAGCAGCACAGAAGGTGGCCCTCCTGAATGCAAGTCAGAGAAGAGCAATTTTAAAGCTTCTAAATGAGGAGAAGATTCAGATGAGTTTAGGAACTTGTTTACACTGTCAAAGTATATTTACAGTTTGACTTCTCTTTCTAAGGATTTCTTATAATAATTATTATTTCTTCTACTGGAAAACAATA